CGAAAGTGGCGACACTGTCGCAGATCGCAGCCTCCCCATGGACGGCGAGGTCTCGCTCAGATCCCCGCGGTGCCTCAGTCCGCAGGACCCACCAGCAGCCCTCGAAAGTAGCGACAGTTTCGCAGACCGCAGCCCCCCAGGGACGGGAGGTCACGCTCAGATCCCCGCGGCGCCTCAGTCCGCTGGACCCACCAACAGCCCTCGAAAGTGGCGACAGTGTCGCAGATCGCAGCCCCCAAGGACGGCAAGGTCTCGCTCGGATGCCAGCGGTGCTTCACTCCGCCGGACCCACTAGCAGCCCTCGAAAGTGGCGACAGTGTCGCAGATCGCAGCCCCCCAGGGACGGCGAGGTCTCGCTCAGATCCCCGCGGTGCCTCAATCCGCAGGACCCACCAGCAGCCCTCGAAAGTGGCGACAATGTTGCAGATCGCAGCCCCCCAGGGACGGGGAGGTCTCGCTCAGATCCCCGCGGCGCCTCAGTCCGCTGGACCCACCAGCAGCCTTCGAAAGTGGCGACAGTGTCGCAGATCGCAGCCCCCCAGGGGTCTCGCTCAGATCCCCGCGGCGCCTCAGTCCGCAGGACACACCAGCAGCCCTGGGAAGTGGCGACAGTGTCGCAGATCGCAGCCCCCCAGAGACGGCGAGGTCTCGCTCAGATCCCCGCCAGCAGCCCTCGAAAGTGGCGACAGTTTCGCAGATCGCAGCCCCCCAGGGACGGCGAGGTCTCGCTCAGATCTCCGCGGTGCCTCAGTCCGATGGACCCACCAGCAGCCCTCGAAAGTGGCGACAGCGTCGCAGAGCGCAGCCCCCCAGGGACGGCACACACACACACACACACACACACACACACACGCGAGGTACGCAAAAGACAAGAGGAGACAAGACGGAAGCGGGAGACGGGACGCGGGAGAAGAAGAAGGACGCGACCACAGCGCTTTATTCGAAACGAATACCCAACCAAGGAGAGTTTGGAAAAACTGAGGGGGGTCGGGGGTTGCATCGACTCTCAGAAAGAAGCCAAGCCGCACCAGCATAAGCTCTCGGAGGTCCGCGAAGATTTTTCGGATAGGAGCAAGCCCCCCCCACCCACCCCTTGGGGCGCAGGAGGCGCCGCCGGGGATGGGCCCACCGCCGATCCAGGGTATCTTCGAGATCGATTCGAGGCTGCCGTTGAAACTCGAGAGATTCGAGAAGGCCGGTCGAGAGTGCCGTTCGATTCGAGATCGCCGGATCTTCGAAAACGGTTCGATCGATTCCAGTCCCAGGAAACCAACCGCATCTCCGTCAGTGATCACGCGGTCTTCTCTTCTTCGAGAGCAGGGCTCTCCCCCCCCCCGCTGGGCGGCGCAGGGCCCTCCCGCTCGCAGGCCGCGGCCGCCGCCGTGCCCAGCCGCAGCCAAAGGTCGCGCAGGTGGCACGCAAGCCTCCCGCCCCCGGGGGAGCGCGCTCGCCCGGACGACGGGGCCCGACGAAACAACGCGGGGCCTGACCTCAGATGTGAAGCGCGTACCTGCCCACCCCCAACCCCCACCTCCCTCCCCCTCCCCTCCCCCCCTCCCCCCTCCTCCTCCTCCTCCCTCCTCCTCCTCCTCCTCCTCCTCCTCCTCCTCCTCCTCCTCCTCCTCCTCCTCCTCCTCCTCCTCCTTTTCTTCCTCCTCCTCCTCCTCCTCCTCCTCCCTCCCGTCGTCGTCCTCGACCTCGTCCTCTGCATCCTCCTTGTGCTGATCCTCCCCGTCCTCCTCGACCTCCTGCTCCTCGTCCTCCTCCTCCTCCTCCTCTTCCTCCTCCTCCTCCTCCTCCTTCTCCGCCTCCTCCCCGTCACCATCGTCTTGAACCTCCTCTTCCACATCCTCTTCGTCCTCTTTCATACCGTCTCCTTCAAAGTGGTAGCCAGCGTGGACCTTAAACAGTAATCTATTGCACTGGATGTGCAAGCTATGTGGCATTATATGTATTGCAAGCTATGCGGCGCTGCTTGCCTTTGCCAACTCATAATTTGACAACTCCAGTGTTCGCGCAATCACCCCACCTTCCCATCTGCATCGTGTTTTGCAAAATTCATTCGGCCACGATTGCGGTGACTGCTTGGCCCTGGCTGGCGCATCTCTGCGGCCGCGCTGGCGCGCGCAAGCTCGCGCGTAGAGCGGCCAGCAGGTTTGGCACTACGCATGCGGCCACGATGGTGCTTGCCGATGGGAATTTCCTGGCGCTTCTCAGAGGCCACGCTAGCAAGCGGGCACTCCAGCGCGGGTCGGTGACTCGGGCGGGCGCGATATCATGATGGCATCGACAACGGCGGCAACAATGATGAGAATAGCGATTGTGGTGGCGATGATGATGACGACGACGGCAAGGCCAATGACGGCGACGATGTTGGTAACGGCGATGATGACGATGATGTCCATGTGTCGGTGATTCATGTGATTGACTGATGATGGCAGCACTGGCGGCGATTGACGATGACGATAACGGCGATGATGCAATGGCGCTGATGCGAGTG